TCTTCAATCTCTGATATCCTTTCTTCCGCTTGATCAGTTCAGCTATTGATACTTGTGTATGCTTCACGAAGTTTTTGTTCTGTGTTCTTCGGCTCCATCAGGTCATTTATGTTCTTCTCCAAACTGGTTATTCTAGTTAGCAATTTGTCTAACCTTTTTTCAAGGTTCTTAGCTTCCTTGCATTGGGTTAGAACATGCTCGTTTAGCTCCGAGGAGTTTGTTATTACCCACCTTCTGAAGCCTACTTCTGTCAATTCATCAAATTCATTCTCCGTCCACTTTTGTTCTCTTACTGGCGAGGAGTTGTGATCCTTTGGAGGAGAAGAGGCATTCTGGTTTTCAGCCTTTTTTGCGCTGGTTTTTCCTCATCTTCATGGATTTATCGACCTTTGGTCTTCGATGTTGGTGGCCTGCGAATGGGGGTTTTGTGTGGATGTTCTTTTTGTTGATGTTGATGCTATCCCTTTCTGGTTGTTAGTTTTCCTTCTAACAGTCAGGCCCCTCTGCTGAAGGTCTGCTGGAGTTTGCTGGAGGTCCGCTCCAGACCCTGTTTGCCAGTGTTAGTATTGAAATGTGAGGTATCATTACATTCATCAAGCTCATTGCCTGGAGGTGTTTCCCAGTCAGGAGGCATGGGGGTCAGGGATCCACTTGAGGAGCCAGTCTGTCCTTTAGCAGAGCTGGAGCGCTGTGCTGGGAGATCTGCTGCTCTCTTCAGGGCCAGGAGGCAGGAACGTTTAAGTCTGCTGAAGCTGCACCCACAGCTGCCCCTTCCCCCCAGGTGCTCTGTCCCAGGGAGATGGGAGTTTTATCTGTAAACCCCTGACTGGGGTGGTATTTGGTTACATGAGTAAGTTCTTTAGTGGTGACTTGTGAGATTTTGGTGCATATATCACCCGAGCAATATATACTGCCCACAGAGGAGGAATCTAGAATGGCAGTCTGGCTACAGCGGCTTTGAGTAGCTGCCGTGGGCTCCGCCCAATTCAAACTCCCCACCCCCCCCCCCCACCCCCCGCCCCCTCACCCCGCCTGAGGCTTTGTTTACACTGTAAGGGGAAAACGGCCCACTCAAGCCTCAATAATGGTGGAAGCCCCTCCTGCCACTAAGCTCAAGTGTCCCAGGTCGACTTTAGACTGCTGTGCTGGCAGCAAGAATTTCAAGCCAGTAGATCTTAGCTTGCTGGGTTCGGTGGCAGTGGGATCCGCTGAACTAGATCACTTGGTTCCCTGGCTTTAACGCTCTTCCCAGGGGAGTGAACGGTTCTGTCTTGCTAGTGTTCCAGGTGCCACTGGGTGTGAAAAAAAAAATCCTGCAGCTAGCTTGCTGTCTGCCTAAATGGCTGCCCAATTTTGTGCTTGAAACCCAGGGCCCTCGTGGTGTAGGCACCTGAGGGAATCTCCTGGTCTTTGGGTTGCGAAGACTGGGGGAAGTAGTATCTGGACCAGAATGCACTGTTCCTTGTGACACAGTCCCCCACCGCTTCCCTTGGCTAGGTGAGGGAGTTCCCCAACCCCTTGCACTTCCTAGATGAGGCAATGTTACACCCTGCTTCGACTTGCCCTCTGTGGGCTGCACCAAGTGTCTAACCAGTCCCAGTGAGATGAGCCAGGTACCTCAGTTGGAAATGCAGAAATCACGTTCCTTCTGCATTGATCTTTCTGGGAGCTGCAGCCCATCTTGCCAGCCACACTGGTTATTTCCTTTCTTCTGCTGGGTTTGCATTTGGTTTGTTCAAGTTTCTCTGGTTCCTTGAGGTGTGGCCTTAGAGTGTCTATTTGTGCTCTTTCAGACTTTTTGATGTAGGAGTTTAGGGCTATGAACTTTCTCTTAGCACTGCCTTGGGTTTTGATAAGTTGTGTCATTATTGTCATTCACTTCAAAGAATTTTTTAATTTCCATGTTGATTTTGTTTTTGACCCAGTGCTCATTCAGGAGCAAGTTATTTAATTTCCATGTATTTGCATGGTTTTGAAACTTCCTTTTGGAGTTGATTTCCAGTTTTATTCCACTGTGGCCTGAGAGAGTGCTTGATATTATTTCAATTTTCTTAAATTTATTGAATCTCATTTTGTGGCCTATCATATGGTCTATCTTGGAGAAAGTTCCATGTACTGTTGAATAGAATGTGTATTCTGTGGTTGTTGGATGGAATGTTCTGTATATGTCTGTTAAATCCATTTGTGCCAAGGTATAGTTTAAATCCACTGTATCTTTGTTGACTTCCTGTCTTGATGATCTGTCTAGTGCTGTCAGTGCAGTATTGGAGTCCCCCACTATTATTGTGTTGCTGGCTATCTCATTTCTCAGGTCTGTTAGTAATTGCTTTATAAATTTAGGATCTCCAGGCTGGGCACAGTGGCTCACACCGGTAATCCCAGCACTTTGGGAGGCTGAGGTGGGCAGATCATGAGGTCAGGAGATCAAGAGCATCCTGGCTAACATGATGAAACCCCGTCTCTACTAAAAATACAAAAAAAAAAAAAAAAAAATTAGCTGGGCATGTTGGCAGGTGCCTGTAGTCCCAGCTACTTGGGAGGCTGAGGCGGGAGAATGGTGTGAACCCGGGAGGCGGAGCTTGCAGTGAGTCGAGATCATGCCACTGTGCTCCAGTCTGGGTGACAGAGTGAGACCCCGTCTCAAAATAAATAAATAAATAAATTTAGGATCTCCAGTGTTAGGTGCATATATGTTTAGGACTATGATATTTTCCTGTTGGACGAGGCCTTTTACCATTACGTGATGTTCCTCTTTGTTTCTTTTAACCACGGTTGCTTAAAGTTGTCTGATACTAGAATAACTACCCCTGCTCTCTTTTTGGTGTCCATTTACATGAAATGCCTTTTTCCACCCCTTTACTTTAAGTTTATGTGAATCCTTATGTGTTAAGTGAGTCTTCTGAAGGCAGCAGATAGTTGGTTGGTGAGTTCTTACCCATTCTGTGGTTCTGTATCTTTTAAGTGGATCATTTAGGCAATTTACATTCAATGTTAGTATTGAAATGTGAGGTATCATTACATTCATCATGCTCATTGTTGTCTGTGTACTTTGGGTTTTTTTCTTTTTTGGTTTTGCTTTTTAACTTGTGTGTGTGTGTGTGTGTGTGTGTGTGTGTGTGTGTTTTAATGGGTCCTGTGTGATTTATGCTTTAAAGAAGCTCTGTTTTCCAGGATTTGTTTCAATATTTAGAGCTCCTTTTATCAGTTCTTGTAGTGGTGGCTTGGTATGAATTCTCTCAGCATTTGTTTGTCTGAGGATGACTGTATCTTTCCTTCATATATGATGCTTAGTTTTGCTGTACACATAATTCTTGGCTGATAATTGTTTTGTTTGAGGAGGCTGAAGATAGGGCCCTAATTCCTTCTTAGCTTGTACAGTTTCTGCTGAGAAATCTGCTGTTAATCTGATAGGTTTTCCTTTATAAATTACCTGGTGCTTCTGTCTCACAGCTCTTAAAATGGCTTCCTTTGGATAACCTGATGACAATGTACCTAGGTGAAGATCTTTTTGTGATGAATTTCCTGGGTGATCTTTGTGCTTCTCGTAATTGCATGTCTAGGTTTCTAGCAAGGCCAGGGAAGTTTTCCTCAATTATTCTCCCAAATTTGATTTCCAAGCTTTTAGAATTCTCTTCTTCCTCAGGATCACTGATTATTCTTAGGTTTGGTTGTTTAACATAATCCCAGACTTCTTGGAGGTTTTGTTCATATTTTCCTATTCATTTTTCTTTGTCTTTGTTGAATTGGGTTAATTCAAAGACCTTGTCTTTAAGCTCTAATTTCTTTCTTCTACTAGTTCAATTCTATTGCTGAGACTTTCCAGAGCATTTTGCATTTCTAAAAGTGTGTCCAAAGTTTTCTTGAATTTTTATTGTTTTTACTTTAAGTCATCTATTTCCTTGAATATTTCTCCCTTCACTTCTTGTATCTTTTTGTTTGCATTTTCTTGCATTGGGCTTTGCCTTTCTCTGGCCTCTCCCTGATTAGCTTAATAACATCCTGAATTCTTTTTCAGGTAAATCAGGGATTTCTTCTTGATTTGGATCCATTTTTGGTGAACTAGTGTGATATTTGGGGGGTGCTGAAGAGCCTTGTTTTGTCATACTACCAAGGTTGGTTTTCTGGTTCCTTCTCATTTGGGTAGGCTCTGTCAGAGGGACGGTCTAGGGCTGAAGACTGTTGTTCAGATTCTTTTGTCCCACAGGGTGTTCCCTTGATGTATTACTCTCCCTCTTTTCCTATGGATGTGGCTTCATGTGAGCCAAACTGCAGTGATTGTTGTCTCTCTTCTGGGTCTAGCCACCCACCGAGTCTACCTGGCTCCAGACTGGTACTGGGGTTTGTCTCCACAGAGTCCTGTGATGTGAACCGTCTATGGATCTCTCAGCATTGGATACCAGTGCCTGTTCCAGTAGAGGTAGTGGAGGGTGCAATGGACTCCATGAGGGTCCTTAGCTTTGGTGGTTTAATGCTATAGTTTTCAGATGCTGTTAAAATTCTTACAATGCCCAAAGAATTGGTTCAAAATATTAATAGTGTTAAAGGTGAGAAATCAGATTTAGATGAAATAAAAATGTGCCAGTTCACTCAAATGCACTTTCCTTTTCAGGATAGAGCATAAGTAATACCCAACTTACAACTAGAAGACCAAAGTACAGTCCCACCCAGGAGCACTTGCTCTTATATTTTGATGTTTTTATTTTCAAAATTATATTTTAATATCTATCTCATGGGGTTGTTACAGAAATTAAATATTATAAGGTATGGGAAAAGCCTTAGTTCAGTATCTGGCAAATAGTAGTTGCTCATGAGATGTTTGTAAAAACAGGTTCATAAACCCATGGGGAATGGGGTTTAGGAAGTGGAGATGAATGAAATTTACACTGAATAGTTCCTGAGCACCTCATGCTTTCTAGGATCTGCACCTGTATCACCACTTCTGAGAACACTTTAGAGAGTAGTAGGCATTGACAAAGATCCAGGGAGGTGTGCATACGTACTCTTTGTTCTTTTCGTTCCACGGCTGCATTGCATTTTTCTATTCCCCAGTTTCTCATAAAGTCTCTGAGATAGCCAAACAGGGTTCCAATTCCATACCCCATGTAAGTGAAAACCATAACATGAAGGGGTGCTTCTTCAAAGGATTCAACAATGAGCTTATCATAAAAATGTGTCCTCCCATTTTGCTGAAAACACAAAAGAAAATCCAAGGTTAGCATTCTCCTGTTACAAATATACTATGATACTTAAAACTGTCAACTTTCAACCCTTTAAATTCCAAAGGCCATATTTAAGATTGTAAAAAAATTAGAAACTGATCATTGAAGAGGGAAATCAAAAATTCAAACTTTGTTTTACAAGCCGTAGTAACATAATTGATTCAAGCAAAAGTTCTCAACAGAAACTCAAATCACTGTGTGAAGAGTTAATGAGGAAGAACGTATTTGCAAGTTGCTAAAGTATGACCCCATAGCTTACTTCCTAATCACAAACTTGGGGTCGTTACCTTAACCAGGTGATCAAATTATATCACAAGTGTTGGAACAAGCAGCCACTCTACACGCCCGTTATGTGTAATATTCAATACACAGCAAACCTATGAAATATTTAACCTGAACTTAGTCAAGCTCTTATGTTTAACTTCCATTTTACAAGAAACACTAGCCTAAAGGAACGTGGTAAATGACCTTATGTGAAAACAACCAGATAATCCAGAATGTAGAGCTTTCTATAGGACAACTGTCCTGATCTTTTAAAAAAGTCATTTCTGATAAAAGAAGGGTGGATGAGAGGACTTAAGGGAAACAAGTAAATCTAGTGTGCGTTCCTTCATCAAATTCTGTTTTCTTTCTGTAATTTTTGTGTGAAAAACCAGGTGAACGACAAACTTTGAACAACTGTGGAAATCCAAATGAGGACCATATATATATCTTATTAAAGAATTTATTAATTTTGTTAGGGAAGATAGAGATATTTTTAGTTATATCATAGAATGTTTTAATCTTTATAGATGCATGCTGAAGTATTAAGGGGCAAAGCATTATAACAGCTGTAGTTCTCTTTAAAGTGGTTTGTCAAAATTGCATAAAAACATAAAGCAACTTTGAGAAATGTTAACTCTCGAATCTGGATGGAGAGTATATAGGTGTTCATTACATATTTTTTTCTACTCTTCTGTATGCCTGAAATTTTTCGTAGTAAAGTTTTAAAAACTGTCTGTTTTATTTCACTTTTCAGTAGAAAGTAGACTTTTAGCACCAAACCATTCTGATGACTGTTTAATTGATTTGCACATAGTAGGTCAAACAACATCTGGTCAATTGATTAGTAAATACATATTTCTAATGCTAATATTTAATTGTTTTAGTCCTTAACAAATATTTATACATTCATTTATTGTTTCATTCAATAAATATAAATCAATCTGCAGATTCCCCATTTCTTAATGAGGTGACACACGAAAAATGTTTTGAACACTTGCAATACATAGCTTTTAGTGATTTACAAAAAATTGTCAAATCTCTACTAATATTTGATGTACCAACTTAGCTTATACATATATATGTAGAATGATTTATTATATTAAATCATGTACATTTTTTTGCCATTTTCCTAATCTTTGTCATTATAATCAACACAGTTTTCCAGAACATATTATCTTCATTCCCTCTACATTGTTTGAGAAGCAGAATTTTTGGAATCTCTGTGATTTAGTCACTGGAAGTTTTATCCCAAACCATAAAATAGATGAAAAGCAAATCAGTCTGGTAGATGAATATTTTAAATCTCTACATTATTATCCTTTAAGAAATTTTTAAAAGCCTTTCTATAGTGATATCTAACATTTGAATTCTTAAGTCAAAACACAAAATATTAGTAAGATGACTTGCTTCCTTATTTATTTATTATTTCGGGTTACCTCTATAGATACCCCAAACTAACAGTGGTGGATGTTCCCATCTAGTGTGTCATCACAAACACTACTTGATGGTATAAAATAATGAAAATGAAAGAGCATTTGTTAATATGCAGTCTTGAGTAAAAGTTATACTCTTGACCTGTATACAGGACATTTGTTGCATGCCTTCCATGAGCAAACAACATGTTCAGCACTGGGAATTCAAAGATGAACAAGACAGACTCCATTCCTACTCCTCCCTCTAACTACGTCCTTACTCCAGTCATGTAGGTCTGACGGATGGCTGATCTTGCTATGCTATTTTAGTACAAACCTTCGGCTCCTTTCCTTGGGTCTGTTCTGCACTTGACCTTTGGACTACGTTGATCTCCACAATTCCAGGTGACCTCCTGGCCCACTTAAGATCCACCTCCCGCATCTTTCTGCATCACAGGGACATAAAATTGGCTTCCTTGTCGGATTTGTCCAGACTCTAGCAAAAGGGACTCAGAGTCTCATGAAGGAAGACATGTCAGAACTTTTAAACTGATTAGATATGAAGTCAAGGAAGAGGAGAAAGACAACTATCTGCAAGGAGCAGTGTAATATTCTTGATGAGAAGAAATAAGGATTTGGAAGGAGGGCTGCTTTTTGGAAAGAAGACATGATGAGTCTGTACAGAACGTGCTAATTTAGGGGTGGTAATTGCCTGCATAAATTCCCAGAGCACTGAGGAACGTAGGAGAAAAGAAAGACCCTGACTGAGTCAATTACAATGGGCCACAGTTTAAGTCATGGTTGAAGGTGAATAAGGCACAAATCATAAAGAGGGGAGAGCAGTAGGCTTGGGACAGAATTTGTGGACACAGTGCTTTTTTGGGTACCACAGAAGAAAAAGAGTGAATAAGGAGTACCCAGTGTAGGTGACCTCAGAACCTTAATTTAACTTGCTCACAAATTAACCCCTTTGGCTGACTTAGAGAATGGCTAAGTTATGTGGGTGTATATAAAGACAGAAAATGTGAGGACATTCAAGTCCAACCCATGGCAATCAGCAGGTTTTCTCTTTTTCCTTTCCTGGACCCATCTTCATTTATGAGCTTCACATGTAACCAAATCAAGTGGCACTTTTCTCTCGAAATCCATAGGCAGTTTCTGCTTGAACTGGCTCTGAGGCAACCCTGCACCGTACATCACAGATAGTCTACCTAGATGCAAATAAAACCCTCAGTTGGTTGCACAGACTGGGACTATATGTAACTATTTATTTGCCCCTGTGACTTGTTCCGAAAGAAAGTAATAAAACGAAGGAGAAAATTTCAACAATGTTCGTCAGCTCAAACCAGTATCTACTGTCCTCTCATGTAAATAGATACATTTTTAATTTAATGTCACTTAATTAATTTTATTTGGCAGAGGAAAAATGAGATACCTTCACAGAGAAAAAAGTTGTCTGGAAATGTATTGGTCTCCTTAAAAGACAGCTAGTGACTCACTATATTCTTTTACTTATAATTGAAGTCAGTCACACCTCCCAGGAGGAATTCCCTAATCTGTTGTTGGATAGTTACCTTGAAATATAAAATTTCATCCTATCAAAGTAAATGAAGCATAAAATCTTGCTTAATAAGTTTACATTTATTAAGCACTTGTTATTACTGCAGATAAGCATTGTTATTTGTAATACGCTTTGGCTTGTTCTACCTTTTCTTTAACAGCCTTAAAAATAAACAGATCCTGAGCCACAATGCCTACAGTATCTAGTCGTTTGGGATACTGTGACATCCTGGGGTTTGTTTACTTCCTGCGCTCTGTCATATCTGGAAATAAACTGGAATATGCAAGGAGCCCTTTACAGACAATTATTCTTCTGTTCAACAGGTAGCTCTTTTACTGGCTGTCCTAGGCTAACATTAGAGGAGATATGAAATCAATAAATACAGTATGTTTCCCCCAGAATCGATAGTGCAATAGGGTGTGTGTGTGTTTGTGTGTGTGTGTGTTTGTGGTGGGGACACAAATGACCATAACATAGAGCAAAATGTGAATATCACAGGATGATGCAAATGAAGGGACCACATCACACTGGGTGATCAGGAGTGATTCCTGAGGAGGTTAAAATGGAGCCTGGTGTTGCTGGGCAGTCGAGCATAACAATGAAGATGATTTGCTCAGGGGTCAGACTTTCCTTTGCTGACTGTGTGACCTTGTGAAAGTCACTTAATTTTTTGAGGACTCAAATGTCTGGGCTAGTAAAGGTCATTTTGAAAATTAAGTGAGATAATATATACAGGTTACCTGCCACAACACAAAAACTCATTAAATGTTATGATTTTTGTTAAATATTCTGAATAGAGATGATAGATGAAAACTATTAGGATAGATAATGCTGCTTTTAGAGACATATTTGAGAAAAAAGAGAAAGACAATATTTAACTCTGTCATATATATTGACCAAGGATATATGGCTTCCTTGCTGGATTTGTCAAAACTCTAGCAAAAGGGACTGAGAGTCTGACGAAGAAAGACATGAGACCAAGGATATACATTGACCTAGGATATATTGATCAAGAATATAATGTATCAGCGGGGCGCAGTGGCCATGCCTGTAATCCCAGCACTTCAGGAGGCCGAGGTGGGTGGATCACCTGAGGTCAGGAGCTCAAGACCAGCCTGGCCAACATGGTGAAACTCTGTCTCTACTAAAAAATACAAAAATTAGCTGGACGTGGTGGTGGGCGCCTGTAATCCCAGCTACTCAGGAGGCTGAGGTAGGGAGAATTGCTTGAACCCGGGAGGCAGAGGTTGCAGTGAGCTGAGATTGCGTCACTGCACTCCAGCCTGGGCGACAGAGCAAGACTCCATCTCAAAACAAAACAAAACAAAAAAGAAACAAGAAAAAAGAATATAATGTATCAATACCTAGGGAGAAGAGGGAGAATGAAGGTCCTCTAAGGAGACAGCAAGTGGGAGAGGGAGGAAGAGGTAAGAGATTGAAGAGTGATACAAAGTTGAGATACTGAAGTTCAACAAGACCATTGTATGTGGGGACTCTCACAAGAAAACTTGAGTAAGTAATTTTACCAACCTGTTATCCCTGCAGTTTTATCAGACTGCAGGTACTTAAGGAGAGAGAGAATGTGAAGGCAATGGGACAGGGAGCTGAGATGACTTATTAAGGAAGTGTAGTGGTAGGGAAGAGGACAGAGAGAAGGTGGTGGCTTTGGTTACTAACAGTGAGAGGAGTTGCTTATTTTGCAATAAAGAAATACTGAGTGTATATAGGAG